AGGCAGATACTTATCAATCATGCCATACCATCAATGAACTGTGTGATTGGCCTCAAATTTATTCTGCATCAAGATAACGGCCCCAAACATAAAGCCAATGTCATTAAAAACTATCTTCAATGTAAAGAAGAATGAGGAATCCTGTAAGCTATGGTTTGGTCCCTACAGAGCCCTGATCTCAACATTATCAAGTTTGTCTAAGATTACATGAAGAGACAGAAGAATTTGAGGCAGCCTACATTCACAGAAGATCTGGGGTTAGTTCTCCATGAGGTCTGGAACAACCCTCCTACCTGCTGCATCCTACAACTAAGTGCCCCTGTCTATGAATGCCTATATGTGTATGGACACCTAGGCTAACATGAAGGGGCATTTAGTAAAAAAGTCAGATGCTCCTAGGAGCAGCATTAAAAACGTCCAGTGTTCCTACTTACATACCAGCTATATAGAAATATGACTGTATCGCTGTTCATGCAGAGCAGATTTTCTTCTAGCTCACAGAACAAGGAAAGGAAACCTATACAATGCACTGGGCAAGGAACCATCAGTCCAAAGGGTATCTGTCTTATGTCTGTCAGCCTTTCCTCCAAGAACAACCCACTTTAACTATAGCTCAATAAAGGTGATAATTTTTTTATAAACCAGTCAAAGGATTTAAAACTTTTTTTGATAAAGTTCATAATAAATTTAATTGAATTGCTGACATGCAGACTATGTTTCAGTTGCAGCATTATTTAGCAGATGACTATCACTACCACTGCTGCATTCTGTTCATGAGAATCATAAATATGCCTTTTATTTTCAAACATAGTGACAGCTATACATTTTTATTTGCTCCCATATCACATAATGAATGCAGTACCCACCTTATTAGCTAGGAGGAGCTAGGGTCCTGATGGTTAGAGAGGAGGGCTGAGTAGTAGCCTGGATGCAATAGTCAGGAGGTCAATGGGTGGATCTGAGGAGTGGCTGGCTTGTACTTTTAGGGGATCCTGGCCTTCAGCAGCTTTGCCTAAAGCATTATTTTAGATCATGACATAATCCAAAAAAGACTGTGATATACTCCCAGAATGATACACAGCACAGAGCTGAAGCCCTGCTCACTGGGTGAACTGCTACTGATTACTGACAGAACATGTTATCCAAGAAAAATCTACAACCAGGAGGATTAGCAAGGCAATATTACTTAATATTACCTTATTACTCATGAATCACCTCTCTGGTTTACTAAATCCTCCAAATCATTGCAAATTCCTATTCCTGCTTTTTAACTGCTGAATTATCCATGCCATTTTAATCACTTAAAAGAGAACTGAAGTTGAAATTGAAAAGAGTGCGAACAGGCAGGCTCTTCTGCAATAAATACATTTACCTGTCTGTTCACAATCCTGTGTAGTAAGATAAGTCCTGTGTAGAACATATAGCTGTGTAACCTTGTCAGACAACGATTCTTCGCATTCACCAGAAAAGTCAAAACTTTCAACTGTGAATCCATCAGGTGATAGTATAACACTGAAATAACCTTAGTATTGGAATTTTTGTCCATGAGCCTTTAGATGGGATTGTTTGGGACCTCATCCCTTGTAAGCACCCCTTAGCTATCAGAGGTAGATGTGGCAGTAAGTTAGGCCAGGGTCTTAGATTACTAATGATACCTGAGCCAGCCTGCAAAGCTAGATTTCAACTTCTGCATAGCTGGATTTCAGCTCCTGCATGTCAGGAGAGGAAGTGCAGAGCCCAAGCTTTCCTATCAACTCTTCAATACATAGTACCAGGGCCAAGTACAGTAGCCTGGCCACCCAGGGGCTGCATCATGGACCTTTCAGATTACCCCACCATTAGGACCTACCAGCACCTGGGCACCACTGTTCCTGTCCTAAGCTGGTGGCTTGCTACACCCCCAGAGAGACACTCCTACACTTATCTCATTTTGCAGTCCAAGGCAAAATCCATAATAGTGGTTTTCCTGCAATTAAGAAGAAGAGCCCAAACAGGGATAAAAGTCTAGACGACACATTTTTTCCCCATGTCTCCAATAACCCTTTTACCAGCTTCATCACCATTAATATACTTCCAGAAGCAAGGGATAAAGAGTACCCTACCAATCCAGGAGAGGAGAATAGGCACACAGCATATGGGAAAAATACCTGTTCAGTTAACTTCTCATACACACTTTCTCTTTAACTATGGCACATCCTCATGCCATGCAATACAAATACTTAACAACTGCATTAACACTTTTTAGTACACATTAACTCAATATACTGTACATATCAACAAGAATAGACCACTTTAGATATACTGTAGTAACGGGTCTGGTAAACTGATCCAGACTCCCATGATAGAGTGCTTCTGCCTAATTTGCACGATGGCAGCTTACCTGTAGGTAAAACTTTAAGGTGTCCTAAGGAATTGAAGAAGTGACTAGGTAAACTACAAAACTTCTAACTTCTGACTAACTACTATTAGATATACAGTACCATGACCTGGATAAATAAGAACCTTCACATATTAAATATGTACTGTATGTGTTTAGATCAATGTAGAGCTAAATTTGGCACAGACTTTTTGGCATAGTTTGACATGTACAGTTTTTCTAACCTACAGATACATTTCAAGGGAATTCTCCCTGGATTTGAATGTTAGTTCACTGCTTTTCTTTTAATCTTTTCTTCTGCTTCTGTCTTTATTTATTCCTTCATCTTCTTTGTTTCTTCTTTCCTTCAATATCTGTTTTAATTGACTTTGAGTGTATAGCATATATAATTGAAAGAGCAACAGAATCTGCTTGTATTACTGTTACAACTCTCTTTGAATTTTGTTGCTGTGAAACACCTATTTATAGCATTTTTAACGTATAAACCTGTTTTGTGAAATAATCTTCTAAATTTGATCTGTGATTAAGAAAGAGTATATGTACAGTATAACAAAAGATGATCAAATGAAATGTATTTTTCTCCCTATGAATTGTATTATTCCCCATTGCCTTGTGATTTGTGTCATTCTTTGCAAGAGGCACATATTTCTTAGCTTGAAAGCTGCAATGTAACCACTTGCCTACCGGGCACTTTCACCCCCTTCCTGCCCAGGCCAATTTCCAGTTTTCAGCGCTGTCACACTTTGAAAGACAATTGCGCGGTCATGCAACACTGTACCCATATTAAATTTTTATCATTTTTTGTGACAGATAGAGATTTATTTTGGTGGTATTTAATCACCTCTGGGTTTTTTATTTTTTCCTAAACAAACCAAAAACCACTGAAAATTTTGAAAAAAAAAAGTTTTTTCTTAGTTTTTGTTATAAAATTTTGTAAATAAGTGATTTTTCTCCTTCACTGATGTGCACTAATGAGGCTGCAGTGATGGGCACTGATAGGCTGCACTGATGGACACTGATAGGTGGCACTGATGCGCACTGATGAGGAGGCACTGGTAGGTGGCCCTGATGGGCATTGACAGGCATCACTGATGGGCACTGAAAGGCAGCACTCATATATGACACTGTGCTCTTACACATGCCAAGCAGCAACACAACCATGCCTTTCTATCGCTCCCTTGAACGGTGACATGTGTACCAGCTATGCCTTATGTTCTGCCACAGTTAGCTTCACAGTTATTGCCAGGGAAGAGGCCACAACCTGAGAGCATCAAACAACCAAGACCACTTCTATTTGAGAGGAGCCAAGTTAAATATAAGGTGTTCCTGACTGAGATCCAGTCTATGGCAATGAATGTAGAATGTGGTGGAAGAAAGTAAAATACAAAAATGTTTGTCTTAGGTCTTAAAAGGATTTTTTTTTATTCTATGCATTAGCGGGAATATTTTTTACAAATATGATCAAAAATATCTTTATATGTCTTGATAAAGTGACACTAAACTTCAATTAAAAAAAAGCTTCAAGCATTCTTAACTCACACAAAAACTCACCCTCTCCTTCTGACTCCGGAGATGGACTAAAGATTATGGACTAAGGGATTTATAGTGTGCCTAGAAAGTGCACTGCTTGTTCCAAACAAACGGTTTGGTCGTTCACTGAGAACATTACAAGGAGGCAGGAAAACACAGGTAAGAAACAGTTTTATGAAAAAAAGATTACAGGGTCATTAGGTATTAGACATGCATGGATTATTTAATTTTATTTTAATCAATGGCTAAAGCTTGATGGCAGGTTTAACATGTTTTCTCACTTTGAGAACACAGTGTTAATTTGAAACCTTTCAATATCTCGATATTTTTCTCATGTTCTGTAGGATTTAGAACCTTTTTACAGTCACAGTAGAAAAAAAAAATCTTGCATTCAGATGGCTCAGCAAATTTGATAGCGTAACTTGATGATTAATTACATAATGCAGGTGTAAAGTGTGTTCTAGCTCCATCTGCAAGCTTAATGTTCCCTACAACACTGAATGCAAAACTTCAATTATAACTTGCTAAGGAAGGATCATTGTAATCCAATTTCATGAGCAGTAATACGATTTTCCACATTAGATTATAATGTTACATTTACAAGGCACATTAACAGTTTAATATCTGCTATACTATCAGCTAATAACACCCTAAAAAATCCAAATGGTTTTGAAAGAAATAATTGCAAAGAAAATACATTTTTGACAGCTGAAGCATATTCTTTACCTTTAAACTATTTTATTGCATGCAAAAATGTAACAGACCCAGCTAATAGAGGGAATTTCCCCTTTAACTGGCTGTAACCACTATTGAGCAGTACCTTGAACCCATCTTTCTACAGTTTACTCATTTTATCTGAGCACTGCATTAGTGATTTACCAATGGCACTATCTGATGGTTTAAACAGGCTTTATGGTACAAAACTTCAACCACAGTGGTGGCATGTGATTATTATTTTACCTGGATTCTTGGAACTGAGACCATGCCATGGAATAAATCTTAATCTTAAGTAAATTTGTTGAATTATCAAAAGACATTTAGTATAATATCTTTAACCTCCCTAGCGGTATACCCGAGTGTAGCTCTGGGTAAAATGTCAGTACCAAAAGCGGTAACCACGAGCTACACTCGGGCTTACCATGCGGCGCTGCATAGGGATTCCCTGCAGAGTTTACCTTGTCCTTTGCTCCCGCGATGTGTCCCCTGCAGCGTCCCCGGCCATCTCCTCCGGCCGATGCCGGCATCCGGCTTCTGTGTTCCGGTCCCTGTGACGTCGGGATGTATGGGCGCCGGAACCGATGGGAAATTTGAAAATTTAAAAAAATGTCATTTTTTTCTAAATGAATTTTACATAGTAAAACATTGCTGTTTCAAAGTATTTCACATACATTTTGTCCCTAGCACTTTTTCCTGTCCCCTGTCTGCATTTTGACTGTTCTTTCTGCCTGGAAACTTAGAAAAGTCCATGGCGTCCAAAAAGCGTCCCTTTAGGTCAAAAGCGGTTTTAGACCGGCTAGAGAACAGCGATAGTTAATCAGAACCACTTGCAGAATTGAGTGATAATGATTTGTGGGGAAATTCGCCATCAGACACTGAAAACGATTTTGCGACTTTGCTCAGTGATGTGAGAACTTGGCGCTATATTTCAAATTTCGGTGTTTTTGGTTTGACTATATTATTGAATTAAATGTATTATTATTACATTATTATTCTTTATGATTATTTAGTAAATTATAATTTATGATTTCGTGTTTCAAATTTTATCATACCCGGGATGTTTAATAGACTCTTGTTCGGACAGATTTCAGTGAGTTATTCCTAAAAATTACAGCCTACAATAAATAAACTACATATTTCGATGCAAAATAATGGTACCGCTTTCAGCACCAAAAATCTGAAATAATCATACCGCTAGGGAGGTTAATGGTGAAGAACAGTGGAAATCTAGGGTCGTTGGTTCGAATCCCAACCACGACACCACCTGACTGGAGTTTGCATATTCTCCCTGTGCCTGCGTGGGTTTTCTCCGGGTACTCTGGTTTCCTCCCACACTCCAAAGACATGCTGGTAGGAAAATTTGATCCTCTCTAAATTGGCCCTAGTATGTATATGTATGAATGTAAGTTAGGGACCTTAGATTGTATGACACTTGAGGGTTAGGGACTCATGTGAATGTACAATATATATGTAAAGCGCTGCGTAAAATGACGGCTCTATACAAATACCTGTAATAAATAATGAATAAATAAAAATAATAAACCTTATTAGGTTTTCATTGTGCAAGGCCCCATATTGTTATGAGGTAGAAAAAGGGGTATTGTGCTCTGAAAGCTTGCTATGATTGTCATAGTCATAAAAGGCCATTAAAGGCCACACACACATATACAGTGATCAGCATAAATGAATACACCCATTTTGAAAAGTAAGATTTTAATCAACATCTCAATGAACACAAGAACAATTTCCAAAATTTTGCCAAAACTGAGTTTTATAGAATATTTGTTTAGCTCACTACATGAAAGTACTCATTTATGTTGATATATATATATATATATATATATATATATATATATATATATATATATATATATACACACACATGCTATATTGCCAAAGGTATTGGGCCAGCCCTCAAAATCATTGGATTCAGGTGTTCCAATCACCTCCATGGCCACAGGTGTATAAAATCAAGCACCTAGGCATGCAGTCTGCTTCTACAAACATTTGGGAAAGAATGGGTCGCTCGCTCTCAGGAGCTCAGTGAATTCAAGTGCGGTACAGTGATAGGTTTCCACCTGTGCAATAAGTCCATCTGTGAAATTTCTTTGCTACTAAATATTCCACAGTCAACTGTTAGTGGTATTATGAAAAAGCAACTGGGAACAACAGCAACTCAGCCACAAAGTGGTAGGCCAGACAGAGCAGGGTCAGAGCAGTAAAATGACAGAGTGGGGTCAGTGCATGTTGAAGCCCACAGTGCGCAGAAGTCGCCAACTGTCTGCAGAGTCAATAGCTAAAGACCTCCAAACTTCGTGTGACCTTCAGATTAGCACAACAGTGTATAGAGAGCTTCATGGAATGAATTTCCATGGCTGAGCAGCTGCATCCAAGCCTTGCATAACCAAGTGCAATGCAATGGGTCGGATGCCGTGGCGTAAAGCATGGTGCCACTGGACTCTAGAGCAGTGGAGACGTGTTTTCTGGAGTGACGAATCATGCTTACTCTGTCTGGCAATCCAATGGACGTGTCTGGATCTGGCAGTTGCCAGGAGAATGGTACTTGCCTGACTGCATTGTACCAAGTATAAAGTTTGGTCAAAGGGGAATTATGGTGTGGGGTTGTTTTTTTCAGGGGTTGGGCTTGGCCCCTTAGTTCTAGTGCACGGAACTCTTAAGGTGTCAGCATACCAGGACATTTTGGACACTTTCATGCTCTCGACTTTGAGGGAATAGTTTGGGGATGGCCCCTTCCTGTTCCAACATGACTGCGCACCAGTGCACAAAGCAGGGTCCATAAAAACATGGATGAGTGTAGTTTGGGGTGGTGGAACTTGACTGGCCTGCACAGAGTCCTGACCTCAACCCGATAGAACACCTTTGGTATGAATTAGAGCGGAGACTGCGAGCCAGGCCTTCTTGTCTGACATCAGTGCCTGACCTCACAAATGCGCTTCTAGAAGAATGGTCAAACATTCCCATAGACACACACTGAAGCTGTTATAGCTGCAAAGGGTGGGCCAACTCAATATTGAACCCTATGGACTAAGACTGGAATGCCATGTAAAGTTCATATGCGATCAAGCAATAGCAGCCCAATCAGAAGCCAAATGGTACATTACCAAATGACAATTAGTAGTGTTAACAATCAGGGGTCTGTACACAGTATATAACACAGCTAGCTGTCATTTTAAATTGCACATTAAAGGTTCATTTACACCCTAGCAGGCAATGCAAACTAGTGGTTTATAGGCCATTTGCAGCCCTTTCACTCATTCACTTTGGTTTAAGGATAAATGCACATTCAGCTGTTCTCCAGTAGATAGGTTACACTGTAGGGTACACTTCCTTGCATAATTTTGCAAACTAAATACTTCAGGCAGTTTATTGATGGTTGATTAAATATTATAAGTTGCCATTTTTACTCCAAAAAAGTAAGACCAAGGAAAAAAAGATTTACCCTTGCAGTTGGTTCTCCTTCCCACTACAAGGAATAACTGCTCATTTTGCTTGGGCATGGTGAATGGTAATATGCTGTATATACCCTATTCCTCTCTCTTGGTAGCCAGCGCACTCTTGATTGTCTGATACACTAGAATGTGGTCGGAACCTTGGCATCCTCCTCAATTGTCTGAAATCATTCAATACAATGCAAAACTAGCAGTCCTGTATTGTACAAGATGAGGTCAGAAAACTGGGACTGGTCGCTGAACGTAAATTATGCAATTTTTGCTTTTTAGTGCTGACTCAGCTTTCAGAATAGTATTGAAGGAAATCTGCTATACTTTCCTGCAAATTTATATTTTTTAGCCCCTATGAGCAAATCTCTGCATTACGTCTCCAAGCTGTTAATGTTTCTAATTAAAACAACCAATATAAGGCACTACTCCTGAAAGTATGTCATTCCTTAGATTGTCGAACAGACTTGGCCCTATGCAAAGATCCAAATTGCTAACAGGTATCTCTGAATGTCCCCATGAGTAATTCTTGTCTATGTGTCTGCATCAGTATCATCTACAGGCAGCTGATTATATGTTTGTGATAGATCTGTTTTAACAAAAACATTTCCTTTGGCTATGTTGTCAGTATTTAATTAATACTAGAATGCTGGTATTGGTACTGCTGTAAATTTTTTTCAATGGTTCATTTAAATTCAGCACAGATTCTGATATCTCTCTTTGGTTTAATGGCAGATATCATAGGTTCACTCTGGGTTCAATGCAACTACTTTTGTAGTTTACTATACTAGGTAATTGATTTCTGAATCTCTTTTTGTACTTAGAACATAGGACACATTGCTTGGCTTCTGGTTTCATCAAGGTCATCTCCAAGTGCACTGCTAAAGTCTTTAATACCTTTCTGCAGGGTACCAGTTGCAACAACTTGAACCCCTATCAGCTAGATCCCAAATTTGGGTGACCAGTAAGCTTATCCCTCTCTCCCTTTCATAATTTAGAACAGCCCCCTAAAATGTCCAAAGCTTGTAAGCCTGTTTATTATATGTATTGCATTCATTATGGTTGATTAAGGGGAGGATTTGAAGGGCATAGTATATTAAAAGAAATCTCTGCTTTAACCATGCAGCACAAAGCAACAGGTTCACTTAACTGCCATTGTTTCCTACTTCCTTCCTTTCTCGCCCGTACTATGCCATTAAACTGCCAGGAATGAGAGCCTATGTAGCCTATGTAGCTTCCATGTTACAACTAGGAGCTTGCAGAGGGCCAAGGACTCTCGCCCTACCCCAATGTCACCAAACACCAACTGCCAATGCTGTCATATAGAGACAAAAATAAAACAGTCAAATAAAGCATGAGGCGCAGCCAGCAATCATGGTAGAGTCTACACCAAAGCCATGGCCATACAATATACTAAATGGAACACAGCTATTTACTATGAATAAGACGCAGGAGATTCAAATCTAAAGCCAATAACATTTCCAAATAATGTGAAGAGTCTTCAGTTCCCGAATTAGCCTACTTTCACACTGATCCATAGCAAAAATGTGTACGTGTTTTTGATACATTTTTACCACATTTGTGGTGTGTTATTTACAGGACATGTGACTCAAAAACTGCACCCTCATTGCGTTTCTGATGTGCTTTTGATACATATGCAAAATTTCTATAGTTTTCCAGCCTTCAGAAGTGAAGGAGGGGACCTGTCTATTGACCTGTGGTCCCTGCCTCCCAAGGTGGTCGATAGGCAAGAAGGGGAAAAGCAGCAATCAGGAAGAGAAGAGAAGAATAATAATGGAAAAAAAAGATAGAAGAGGGTAGAGTAGATAATAGGAGGCTGAGAGAAAAGAATTCAGGAAGATTTCCCTGTGTCCCTGAATGATTATCCGTGGCCCCTGCTATGCAGGGCCTTGTTTTCCATTGATTTCCATTGCGGTTTTTTTACCATACCAAACCTGCACCAAAAATGCAGCAAGTGGAATTTTTAAAAACACACCATACCCGCAATGGATCAGTATGAAGAGTTCCATAAGAATACATGGTAACACCTTTTTCTTCTGCTTTTTTTAATGCAAAAGCCTAAGAAAAATGGATCAGTGTGAAAGCAGTCTAACTCAAAATCGAACTGATTTTGATGAATTTTCTTGCAATATAAGAACTCTGAAAAGACCTTGAAAAAGACAGAAAAATGTTTTGACTTGTTAATGCTGGAGTCTGCTAAGAGAGAGTTTCCTTTTGTGCATATTTTTCTTCTGTTGCTGTATGTCT